TCATTTTTAGATGTTTAATCAGTACTGGGAGTGAGGTCTCGTTTTTCATATTTTTTTCCTGCTAAACGTTTAGTTTTTGTGGCTTTTATCAATGATTTGCAACTTCATTGTACCAGTTGACATCTAATATTTTGTTACTGACTTCCTTGGATTCTGTAGCTGTGTCATTTACAAGCAGTTTCTTATATCTTTTGTGTTAATACCCTTTCATTCGGCTTTGTCCGTTTTTTACTCCTGCCTTCCGGATTTCTAGTGTGTCTCCCGAAGATAGTTTTGGTTTCTGGTGTTCAGTGTTTTCAGGGGTTTTGTTTTGTTTTGTTTTTTAATTTTAATGTTTATTTATCTTTGAGAGACAGAGAGACAAAGCATGAGCTGGGGAGGGAGATACAGAATCTGAAACGGGCTCCAGGCTCTGAGCTGTCAGCACAGAGCCCGACGCGGGGCTCGAACCCACAAGCCTTGAGATCATGACCTGAGCCGAAAGTCGGACGCTTAACTGACTGAGCCCCCCGGGCGCCCCTGGTGTTCAGCGTTTTGAAGCAGCGTCTGCTTTCTGAGTATGGGCACCATGTTTCCTAATCAGGCGTCTGCATAAATTAAATTTATTGAGCACGTTCCTGGCCTCTGTGGACATAATCTTTGGTTTGTACTGTTCTGTTGCTGTATTTAGCTCTGCTTTGCTTTTTGTGGAATTCCCGAAGATTCCGGGGGTGACTCCTCCCCTGGTCACAGGGAGCCACTCTTTTGATCCCGCGCTGGCTGCCATCCTAACTGGAATTTTAGATCTAGGTTCAAAACAAAATTAGCCTGTAATTGTCGTTGGTAATGTTGTCCAGACAGGTGTGGCCACAAAACAGACCCTGCGGTTTTCTGTTTTATGTGCACATTTGTTCTGCAGCCGCCGTCACCCGTCAAGTCAGGGGACGCGGGGATCTGCCGTCTCCCCTCGGTGACTCTGAGTCTGGGCCCTGGCCAGCTGAGAACCTGCTCGGCCTCCCGGCACCCTGCACAGCCTCACCTCCCCCCTGCACAGCCTCACCTCCCCCCTGCACAGCCTCACCTCCCCCCTGCCCCAGGAAGGCACTGGATAAGCCACCCTTGACTGTTCCACATGGTTCCCCCCTCCCCGCCACCGTCTCGTTTGCCTATTGTTTTAAGGCCCAGTGGCCACGGTGCCCGGCGCTGGGACCAGGCAGAAGGGGCCGCTGTTCTGTTATGGGGCAGCGTGTCCAACAAACAGCCACTTCTTCTGCAAGGAGCAGAATGTGCTAAAGCGGAATCTAACTTTCCCCTAAAAACATTCCTTCTTCATCGAGTCGTCCGGCAGAGCGTTCCTTACGGGCAGAATTTTTTAACGATGGCCAAGTTTGGACACGTGCGGCAGGGCAGCACTCAGTTTCAAACTTGTCGGCGTGCCGGGGAGTGTGTTTTCCACCGCAAATCCATGTTTTCTTGTGCGCCCATCAGAACTATGCCCCGTGAGGTGTCACCTCACTTGCTTCACCCCGAAGACCAGGGGGCCACAAAGTGGCTCAGAGTATGGACGCAGGAGCCACATCGCCCGGCCGTGGGCCCTGCCTTCAGCTTGCACTGCTTTGGGTGACTTCGCTGAGCCTCTGTTTGCTCATCTGCAAACCTCAGTGATGATAGTACCCGCCCCAGAGGGTTGTCGGGTTTATATGAGCAAGTGTGTGGAAAGCACTTAGGACAGTGACCAAGATGACATCCTTGTCACCATCATCATCGTCGTCATCATCATCATCATCATCATCATCATCTGAACCTGGAAGACTTCACACCAAGTGAACTTCTGACTTTTGGCCAGAAAGATGTAGGTCTCTCATCTCTGCTCCAAGAATAGAAACATAGTGGGTTAATGGAGCACCTGGGTGGCTCAGTCCGTTCAGCCTCTGACTTTGGCTCAGGTCACGATCTAGCCGTCTGATGAGCCCGAGCCCCGCGTCGGGCTCTGTGCTGACAGCTCGGAGGCTGGAGCTGCTTCAGATTCTGTGTCTCCCTCTCTCTCTGCCCATCCCCTGCTCGTGCTCTGTCTTCTCTCAAAAATAAATAAAACATTTAAAAAGGAGGATTAAAAAATGTTTTGGGGCGCCTGGGTGGCTCAGTCGGTTGAGCACCTGACTTTGGCTCAGGTCATGATCTCACAGTTCATGAGTTTGAGGCCCGCATCAGGCTCTATGCTGACAGCCTGGAGCCTGGAGCCCACTTCAGATTCTGTGTCTCTCTCTCTCCCTCTGCCCCTTCCCTACTTGTGCACATGCACACATGCATACGCACTCTCCTCTCTCTCTCTCATAAATAAACTTCAAAAGTGACCATTTCCCCATATTCTCCTTTTAAAAAAATAATAAAATAAAAAATGTTTTATTTTTAAAACATTTTTATTTTTAAAAATGTTTTCAGTTATTCTTTTAAGTTTATATGAACTGATAACATACTAATACATATTTATTTAATAGTGTAATATTACATTTTAGAATAAAATGAAGATATTTTAACTTGAAAAATCAAAGAACTGGAATTTTTTAATTCACGGTGAAAACGTGTGCGCCAGGGCCGGAGCGCACAGCGGCGGGAAGGCCAACAGGCCCCAGGGTGAGGATGGGCCCTGTGCTCGGGGACTGCCGCCCCGTGGGGCCTCGCTCCGCCCGGCAGGGACGACTGCGGGGGGCCCCCGTGAATCCTGGTGGGGTCGCCCTTCTCAGCAGGACAGAGGCGTGCGTGGTGAGGCACCCGCTTCTCTGCTGGGGGGCAAGCGGCAGAAGGCATAGACACTCAGAATGTATAAAGAACCCCCAGAAATTAATGGAAAAATAATCCAACATAAAAACAAGCAAAGCAAATGAATAAACAACCCGAGGAAGAGAACTCGCAAACGACCCACGTGCGTCGGGGTTACTCAGTCTCACCTGCAGCCAAGTAAACGGAGGTTCAAAGGGGAAGATCCGGTTTCTCCCCCGCCATCTTGGCGAGAGTTAGGGGTATGTGCTCTCTGGTGGTGGTGGTGGTGGTTCTTTTGTTTTTGGTCAACATACAGGTGGCCGCATCGTGCCGAATCCTGGTCCGGAGCTCAGACTCACGTAGCCTGGGCTCAGACACCCACCTCCCTCTCCCCCGCAGGCCGCTTCTGGCCTCACCTCACAGAGGCACGGGACCCCCATCCTGGAGTGTCCGCTGCGAGCATCACACCTATCACAGGTCACTGCCTGTGGTCACCTCCAGTGCGTGATGTTTACGTCCTCAGAGGACAGTGCAGAGCAGGGGTGACGGAGAGCAGAGAGCAGGGCCGGAGCAGAGGACGTGGAGGCGTGCCTGGGGATGACCTTGGGAAGGTCGATGAGGGGCTCCCAGGTAAACAAGGTGGACTGAATGAGCATTTCGATCTCCAGCTCTTCCCAAATCACCTCCAAAACGGGAAGAGAGGATTTCAAAAGCCGTACACGCACGAGGGCCAGGGGAACATTTGAGCACTCGGAAAAGGATGTCAGGACAACACGGAAGGAGGGAGAGCAGATGAGATGAGAGGGAAGAGGCAGCCAGAGAACTCAGTACCTGCGGGCCAGCAGGGGGTGGGGGCGGCCAGAAAAAGCCCACCTTCCAGCAGAACCCTGGGGAGAGAGAGAGCAAGGCCTGGTCCTTGTGAGTGGGGCTGACGGCTGCATGGCTGCATAAGGGGCCTTCCGCCCCAGAGAGCGGGTCCCCAGCCCCTCCCACGCTGGCAGAAGAGGCCCCGTGCTGGCAGCCCGGACCCAGGTGAGCGTGGAATTGTCCTTGCCCCGCCCCCTTGGCCCACTGGCTGCATTCTGGCAGAGATGGGAACCTTCCTGGCCAGGACAGGAAAGACCTCATGGGTCTTTCATTCCAGGGCAGGGACTTGGATCCTGCCCACCTACCCCCCACCCTCTGGGAAGCCCATCAGTTCATAAGCCTCTTCCCAGACACTGAACTTTCCGTTAGCGATTCATCTGGTTCTTGTATATAAAGAGACCTGAAGATCACTCACGCTTTCAGCAACAACAGAAGTCCGCCGTGGATGCATGGGTCAGGGTCTGGGCAGGGAAAGGATGGCACCCTCAGCACGGCAGATAATAAAGGGGCTGGTGGTCGAGATGTGGACAGAGTCTCGAAGAACCGATGAGGGACGGCGTGGTGTCCTGGGGCTCCGCAGCCCAGAGTGGCCGCCATCCTGAGCCTCTGCTACAAGCAGGCTCCCAGCCACCCGTGTGCTGAGTCGCCAGGGAGCCAGCGGGAGAAGACACAGCGCCATGTCACTCTCCTCCTGCCCCCCACCTCCTTCCATTGGCTCAGACAAGGGCGAGGAGCCTGCTGATGCCCTCGTAAGGGTCGGCCTCCCTGGCCAGCCGCACCTCACTTTTTATGCCCGACGTTACTGCTCTAAGGTTCCTAGTCGTTGCTACAAGTTGTAAATCCTTAATTCTCCACCGCTGGGCAGTAGTCTGTTGGTGAACACAGTGCAATTTATGCACCCATTCTTTTATTCATAAACTACTGGGTTATCTCCGTGTGTGGACTCTTAACGAAGTGTATTTGTTCATTCTTGATGCCGATTTACAAGAGTTTCTCTAGGGTGTAATTGTTCCTTCATAGCGTCTGCTCACGTTTGACTTTATAGGATAGTGTGGAATGGCTTTCCAAGGTGGCTATTCCAGTTTGTACCCCACCCCCAGCTGTGACAGATCAGTTGAATATTCTGGTTATCAATTTATTCATCTTTGAAATGAGTATAATAATGCAAGCTTTATGGGCATAGTGGGGAATCGCTTTGTATCATTCAGGTGAAACATCTTTTTAGCAATGGTCACGTCCAAAAATCACACGTACCTCAAAACAAGACATAAATGCCTTGTAATTACATGCCGTGTTCTTAGCTCACCTTTGATGCTGTGTTACTATTTGTTGTACCAGATGCCCGTTTTGCATGGCTTACGAAGAAATTTTTGCTTATTCTGTCTTCCCTCAGAATGTATAATAAGATGTGGCATCAGACCCAAGAGGCCCTCAATTCTTTGCTTGATAACGAATCTGAGAATGTGATAGAATCACAAAGAAATCAAGTTTTCATCTTCCAAATGTTGGCCACCTTCTACATAAAGTACGTGCAGATCTTCAGAAACCTGGAGAATGTCTACGACCAGATTGTCCACCCGCAGAAGCGACTGCTGATCCGAAAAATCCTGGACGGGGTGATGGGTCGCATCCTGGAACTGAAGAATGAGATGGTTGAATTGGAGTTAACCGAGTTTCATTATTTCGATGACATCCTTCAGGACCTAAAGTTAGCTCCTGTAAGTACTCAGCCTCTTTTCTTCTCAGTGTCTTGCTTTAAATCAGATATTTAGGCCTGTAACCAATATTCTACGGACTTCCTAGACACATTGCTGGTTGTTGTATGAAAAGGTGAAGCGTTGCCCTTCAGCGGGGCCATACTGCCCATGGACAAGGATTGGGTTCCTGTAGCCATAGGCACAGACAAATCTTTGCACAGTCCTTGGGTCCAATGTTGTGGTCTTAATTGTCATGATGGTGTCTGCCCAGGTCTGTTGGATGGAGGAAGCCAACCCTTTCACAAATACCCTGTGGCACAAAGCCTCCCTACTTTTGTTTCCAAAGGAGAGCTCCTACTGGCCTTTGTTTCTCCCCATCTTCTTCAGGGTAAGCACCCATTGGCAGCAGGTTCTTTATTTACCAGGTGGATGTGTCTCCTCCTCTCCTTTGGGTCTTTGGTGAGTTGGGTATTTATGGCAATAGGCCTCTGTGACTCAGACAGGAAAGAGAGGCATCCTCTCTCTCTCTCTCTCTCTCTCTCTCTCTCTCTCTCTCTGATGCCCTGGAGCAGAGGGCCTTCTGTCTCCCCACCACCGCTCTTCTGACCCCCACTACCAGATGCCCAGAGTCCCTTCTGACGCTCTGGCCGAGTCTGTCAGAGACCGGTGGACAGCCCATTGCAGTGTCACGGTCCTGTGAGCTCAGTCTGCATTTCGACAGGAACATTTCCCTAAAATAAAATTAGAAGGAGACAGTGTTCAATTTTCTACATGGCGTATAATATTTCTTCCTTTTGAAAACATTCGAGATTCTATAAAGGCTATGTTTCTTTCTGGAATAGGCCTTTCTAGCATTATTATTGCACGTTATTAGAAAGGACTATAAAGGATAACTAAAATGATAGAAAGTGTTGAAGATCAATCCTGAACGCTCATGTTTGCTGTATTCACTTATAAGAGCATGTCTTAAAGCACTGGATTTTTTTCAAAAGGTCAGGTGGATTTTACCTACCTGTGTGAAAATATCAGGAGTAACCGGGGATCATCATGAAATAAACAATCATTAAGTCACATCCCTACATCGAATTAGTGAAGTCATATTAAATGTATTGATTCCTAAGATATGAAATAATACGCTTGAAGTTGAGGAATAAGACATCTGTGAAATCGGTGTGGCGGGCTCCTTCAGGCTTTCCCTCCTGCTTCACGCGTCGCCTCCCTGGCTCAGCTGGTCCATCCTTTGGACGCTCGTGACCACTAAAGGGGGCGATGAATGAGCGACATCATCCAGGAAGCCTTCCTCATAGGAGACTATCAGCTGTGTTGTCCGGCAGCTCCGGAGGTACAGACTGAGCCACATGACGACGACACTAGGGTCCAGGTGGTACCAGTAGTACCACGGAGCCCAGGAGCACTGTGGGGCCAGGGGGGCACACGTAGGCCAGCTCGGGGCGCTCCCGCATGGCTCAGTTCTGCAGTCCCCATTGGAGGCCTGACCAACCGGCACACATGACGACTCTGGGCCCCTGTGGCCGCCACCCACATAGCACGCAGCTCCTCTATTTCGTTAGGCCAGCACCCAGCCACCTGTGCAACTGGCCTGCAGCCCGACCGCAGCTGATCAGACCAGGGATGGGTACTGGCGGCTGCACCAGGATACCCTCCCCTGAGAGATTCTGAAACTGAGACAGAGAGGCTGGTTTCTATCTTTGAGTCAGAACTGTGTGGCCCAAATTTGTGAGTAGTTGGAGCCTTTGTTCATCAGCTGCTCGGAAGAATGGAGAAAGCTGCTTTTCAGAGTCAGAGGGAGAGAACACGAGAGAGAGACAGAGAGAGAGAGGGAGAGAACACGAGAGAGAGAGAGAGAGAGACAGAGACAGAGAGACAGAGAGAGGGAGAGGACACTAGAGGGAGAGAGAGAGAGAGACAGAGAGAGGGAGAGAGGGGAAGAGGGGGAGAAAGAGAGAGGGAGAGAGTGAGAGAGGGGGAGAGAGGGAGAGAGAGAGAGAGGGAGAGAACAAAGAGCCCTCCCCCACAGGAACAGAGGTGAATGCAGAGCCCTTCAGGCATCTTCATCCCTGGACACAGCCCTGCTCATGACAGACTCTCAAGTGCGTTCCTCTCCTGGCCACAAAGTCCCAAACCCGTCCCTCAATGTCCCCCTTCGGCTAAACTCCCCAGAAGAGTTTCTGCTGCCTGTTATGTAAGGAGCCTTCCCAGTAGACCCCTAAGATAGAGAACATGCAGGGCAGAGAGAAGGTGTTTCTCTGCCACAAGACGTTTCCTTGATTGCACCCCTTAAAGAACGGGGAACCCCGAAGAATGTGGGGTGGATGTAAAATGTTTTGTGGACGGAGGTCTAACAGCCGCCCAAGCAACTGTATTTGTATTTCCTTCCCTTCCCTTCTCAGCTGCTCTGTTTCCTCATCCTCAGACTCTTCATAATGGACCCCATGGAGCCATGTCCATGAACAGTTGACTTTAAAGTTGGAAAAGTACAACATTTTAACACACTTAGTAATAAATAAAATCTCCATGTTAAAAGAAAGTGTAATCACTCTTCTCTGACTATCCTCCATCCCCCGACCACACTCACTCACGGGGTCCTAGAAACTCACTTTCCCCAATTTACCCCAAAATTCCATTCGTCAAAGAGAATTTTGGTTTTCAAAAGCAATTGCCGGGGCGCCTGGGTGGCTTAGTCGGTTAAGCGTCCGACTTTCACTTAGGTCATGATCTCGCGGTTCGTGGGTTCGAGCCCCGCGTCGGGCTCTATGCTGACTGTCAGCTCAGAGCCTGGAGCCTGTTTCAGTCTGTGACTCCCTCTCTCTCTGACCCTCCCCTGCTCACACTGTCTCTCTCTCTCTCTCCTAGAAATAAAAAAAAAAAAAAAAAGCAATTGCCATCTGGTATGGATTGATACCATCTCACCAAGTCCTTAAAAAGGACACTCCTTTCTGTTACAGTGCTTCTTCAAGGGAAGGCCTGGTTAGGGGAGAGGGTGTGGAGAGCCACACCAGAGTCAGGAAAAGGGGTGCTGACCCTGAGGACCGGAACCATAGCTTTGCCCAGCCAACTGGTCTACCAGAGGGCGGCCAGGAGTGTCTGAGAGAGTGACTAGCACAGTGTTTCTCATTGGGGGTGGCCAAGGGCCCACCCCATACCCCCAAATGGCACTTCTACCCTTCTGATTGGTGAACTTGGGCTGGTAAGTATTCATGTGACCTCCAGTAACTGAAATATTTGTTAATATGCACAAGCGAAAAAAAGAAGTTTATATTTTATTGCATATAAAACAAGTTTCCTAGTGAAGCAAATGAACTTTGCCAATAATTTTTGTAATTTAGGGTAGTTTAGGTAAAAGTCAAACTGAATGTGATCATTTACAGGCAAATAGTTAACAATGCTGATGATAAATTATGAGGTTTAATTCAAAGATCTCTCCATCGCAATACTTGGCTATCTTAATTTGCATTATTGTTTGAGGCAGGCTGAGATGATATTCTATTGCTTTAAAGAAATTCATTCAGTTGTCATTTGTTAATTATGAATTAATTGATGTGAATTCTTAAGTTTTACATAATGATTAAAATAAGGGCCACGGTGATTATTTTTCTATATGACTTTATTTGTGTCTCCTTAACAGTAATAAATTATCTTTATACCTCTGGCCTCATCACCTCTTAAATAAGGATGGGAGGTAAAATGTGTCTCTTTGATGTACAGTCCTTACTATATATTTTAGATGGATTTGAAATGTGTCCTTAAATTGTGACAGATTTGCCCTTTTGCTTATTTTTTCTCTTCTCTAGCAACAATTAGATATTCCCATCCCCAAGTATTTTTTGAAGGAGAAGTTGGAAGTAATCAAAGGAAGAGAGAAAATCCTTGCTCAGATATTAGCTGACTCTGGATTAGATATGGCTGAAAAGGTTTGTATACCATTTTAACCACCATCATTCCATAATCTACAAATTATGGATTTATAATTTATAAAAATTATATATAAATTTATATATAAATTATATAATTTATAAAGGAGCCTCCTTTCCCTGTGGCTCCTGATTGTGTGAGAGACAGGTTATTTTCAGTGAGAGGAAAGCAGCACCCATCCCTCATGCTATCGGGATGTAAGAAGTTGCTTACCTTCAGGATGTGTTTTTGACAATTCATAACCATTATTTTTCAAGAACTTAGAAACAGAGATCAGAACATAATGCTTTGCTGGTGGAGCCAGTATCTCTGAGATTGAGTAGATCATTGACTCTGTAATTTTGCATCTCAGGTTCCCCTAACCTAAAGTCAGAAGCTGAATGTTTTCACAGGAAATAATTGCTGAGATAACCTACTAGGCAGTCATTTCACTTTAGACCTTTCCACATGGCGTGGCCATAGCCACCTCTGGCCAGTCTGCATATGCGTTTTGGCGACCCTCGCTGCGTCCCAGATCAGGGCCTCATTACCCTGGCTGGTCACAGCCCAAGCGGGAAGGCAGCAGTTGGCTGTCCAAACTGGGACAATTCAGGGTGAAAGGGCCGCTGTCGGTAACTGTGCTGAGGCTGCAGCTTCAGCCCAAGGGCACAGGGGAAACCAGCACGTGCGGGCTCCCTACAGAGAGGCCCCATCGGGTGTGTCAGCCTGGGTCATGGCGCCACGGAAGATTCTGAGCACAACCCAACCGGGAAACAGCAGCGGGGAGACCGAAGGATGTGGCCTGTCTGCCTGCCGTGGGGAGCAGGTGGGCGACACGCACTATATGTGGCGGCTCCGTGCTGTCTGGCGTTCACGGTCGTGGTGCATGCCGCAGAGAGGGCTCGCGCTTCTCCCTCCTTCTCAGCCTGTCGAAATGGTGCTTATTCAGCTGGGCCTGGCTCGATGTAGCATCCCTCCCAAACCTGTCCTGACCCCGCAAACTCAAGACTGTCCCTCCTTCCTCCACCTCTCCCTTAAATGGCCCCCCTTCCTCTGCACTGCACATTCCTGGAGGCCGGTCCCAGGGCTTTTTAAGTGGGGGTCATCTAGCCATCCTTGCACTTGTTCGTGCCTTCAGCCCGTGCATCGTTCAGAGGGGAGCACTCAGCACCGTCCGGCTCCCACCCGAAGGAATCCCCTGGCACAGAGCACTGAGGAGCAGTGCAGAGTTCACTGAGCATTTTTTATAGGGGAAACAAGAAGAGAGATGACGTCACACAGTACAGCAGAACCCTGAAGATTCCTCTTTGCTCCTTCTCCAGCTTCTCCTCTCTCCTGTCCCTCTTCACCTGTGCGGGGTCAACAGCAGGGAATGTTCTTTCCCAGCCCCAGCCCGAGCTGGCCCACTGGATCCACTACATAGAGTCATCTGTCTCTGTCCCAACCCCTGCTTCAGATGGGCTGAATGTCAGGAAACACCGGACTCCGGGCAGCAGCCCTTGACATCCGTGTGACTTTCCCTTGGCCTTCAGTGCCTCTCTAGACCCCATTTCCACCCGAAGCTGCCTCTTTCCTGAAGATACATGTAATATACATCCCAAGAAGGATTCTGAGAGACAAACGTTACCACCCAGTCCTCCATCTTTCACACTTCGTATTCACTCTCGGGCCTCGGGCCCTCCATAAATGCTCAGAAATCTTTGTCGTATTGAATACACCACGCAGACCCTCAGAAGTATTCGTAAGGGCTGCGATGATTTTCAGAGTGATGATGCCTAAAGGAAAGAAGTACGATAATAACAAATGTGTGCTGGACACCTGCTTTCTGCTTGAGTGATTGTACAGGCCTCATCCAATTCAATACCAGAATGGCATTCATTCTACTCTCGCATGCCAAGTGCGTTATTGAAAACGTGTGCTCCCTGCACATCTCAGATGATGAGGTGTCACTGAAAACAAAACTCGGAGGGATTGGCATGTGAAAGAGCTTCCTCTAAGGGAGCCAAGGCGCCACGCTGAGGCACGGGGGATGGGCTTTGTCAGGGAGATGGCCAGTCTTGGCTCAAGTTGGCTCCACCCTTACTAACCACAGGAGGCTGTGTGAATTATTTTTCTTCCGTGGGGCTCTGCCTTCTTCTTAACTCTGAGTGGTCACAACAATACCTGTCTCAGGTTGCTTTGTGACTTTGCTGAGGATATCTAAGAAAAGCATCTGGCTTCTGTGGGGTCTCGGGGAATGGCCCTCCACACCCCTTGCTCCTTCCTGGGCAGAGCTCCCCCCACACACATACCATCATCACACAGAGAAGAGGCCATCACGGGAAACAGTGGCCCCAGGGGTGAATTGGGGCACCCCGTACTTGGGACCTCATTGCTTGGCACCGCGTCCTGGTAAGTCGGCCACACTGCCCTGACCTGAGCAAGGATTCAGCCCATGATTGGGTGTTTTTCAGATTCAAAGGGTCTCTCCCTTCTGCTTCTGTCCCTGCGTGAGGCTCCACCCAAGCCAGGCCCACGTGCCCAGCTTCTCCCTCGCCCCAAGGACAATGGAGAGCCTCACCCCTGCGCCCACTCAGAGCTGACACGGGGCTCTGGATGGCCCAGCAGCCTTGTTCTGGAAATGGCTCAGCCCCTACCCCGGCCATCCCCACCTGACATCTCCACAGACGGCATCTTCCGGCACCAGCCCTCACCTTTCTCCAGTCATAATCTTCCCATCCCATCTGGATGTTTTGAAATACAAACTTGTAGGTACTAGAAGACATTGCATGTATAAATCAAATACTCCTAAAATAATTTTACCATTACCCATATTTACTAGATCATCCTGTAATTGGTTTTGAAGTTAGCATTTTACAGCATGTGCACTTTGCATTTCAAGTTCTCGCATTCAAGATGTGTTTTTAATTTGTATGTTTCCACTATTAAGTTAATCAAACATTGATAGCGATTTTGAGTTTTATTGAATCCATTTTATTGGCATTCCTGGTATAATTTGCTGCCAACCTAAAATATTGTGGAACTAATCAGTATTTTGTTCGGAAGGGTAGAGGAAAGCTTATGAGATTCTTAAATGTGGGACCAGAGCACAAGTGTGGCGCGTTATCAAAATCCACATAATTAATGAGTACGATGATGGAATGAGACAGCTATCAGACTCTTTACCAACAGTTGGGGGATTTGCAGCGAAGCTGTGTTAGGAGTAAGCTTGTGAGGCCCCCAGGATCAACTGGTGTAGTTACCATGTTTAAACCTTGGTTTACCTTGAATGTTTTTGCAGAAATACTCTCTGAAGAATATCCCCCTGGAAGAAGCCATTAAATTAATCCAGGTCGCTGAGAGGGCGCGGCAGGGTCGCCTACGAGCCATGTTCATGAAGCAGATCTTCCTCCAAGAATACAGAGCAAAGCAAGCCAAGATCTTTAGCGAGAAAGTAGTGGATCTGGAGGTTGCCGCGCTGCAGATTCAGAAGGTGCGGGTGAGGTGCTCACGGAGCTGGGGCGGTGCCTCGACACAGCTAGAAATGCACACGGGGGTCAGGGGGAGCTCTGGAACCCCAAATTCCAAAGCCCTCCCTTGAAGAGAGCTGGATTTCAAATTCTGGAAAGGCTTATTATCTTACCCTGGGGAACCCTTGAAGTAAGCTTGGTCATGTTTTGTTTTTGTTTTGTTTTTTAATTGTACTATAAATAGTTACAACATGCAGGACATTATATTCAAATATTTTTAAAGATCACTGATCATTGTTGGAAAGAGGGTTGCTAAACATTCAGTGAGGATACGCATCCCTCATGAATTTTTAAAAGTGCGTTTACAGACAGACATGATCACAGAAGGGGAGAAAAGGTCAACCCCTCTGGCCCACGGAAACGTGTGCTGTTCACGGTGCCAATGACCAAGACATTGAGGTTCCTTTAAATGTTTATTAATTTATTGTGAGAGAGAAAGCGAGAGAGAGCAGGGGAGGGGCGGGGGGAGAGAATCCTAAGCAGGCTCTGTGTGGTCAACGCAGAGCCCAACACGGGGCTCGATCCCATGAACCATGAGATCATGACCTGAGCTGAAATCAAGAGTCAGATGCGTAACCAACTGAGCTACCCAGGCACCCCGATGTTCCTTTCTGAAGTGGGCCTGAGGTTCTCCCCCACTTTGTTGGATGCGCACCGGGGGTCTGCTCCAAATCCTTTTCCAGATAGAAGCTAAGGTTGCTTACAGTAAATGCAGAAGACGGCAGCATGAGGCAAATTGGAATGAGGAGAGACAAGGAAAGCATAAGGACACAGACCCCAGACGGAGGGTCAGGACCCCCTCTGTTCCAGGGTCTGGATGCGGGGGGAGAAGGGTGCAGGCAGACCGCTAGCATCACGTGTTCTTTATGTTTATGTGATAAAGTTCTAGACAAGCATCTGCGTTCAGAGCTTGAGTCGTATCAGCTGTGGACACATGACCGTGTTATATCTCCCCCCCGTGACAGTGGAAATTTTTCCTTTTAATACTATGAAGTGCCACCCTTCAATCTAGCCCCACACTCCTGCAATCTGGAAGTTTCTCTTGAAGAAACCCAAGATGGGGACACTCACTAATGAGAATTAGAAGCCCTTTCTTCTCTCCCTCCCCCAGCTATATTGCAGTGCGCTTGACATAAAACATTGTGTACATTTAAGCTGTACGATGTCGTGATGTGATATATATATATATTGCAAAGTGATTATCACTGTAAGGGTAATTAAAACATCCATCACCTCACATAATTACCAGTTTCCAATAGTGAGAATACTTCAGATCAACTCTTTTAGCTGCTTTCAAGGACGCATCACTGTGTTGTTGAACAAGGTGAACTCATTCATCTGATAACTGGAAGTTATCTGGCCACTTTCACCCATTTTCCTCACCTCCCAGCCCCTGGAGATCCCAAACCTACTCAGATACCCAAACCACTAGGAACCTGTTTCTGTAGGTTTGGTATTTCTAGATTGCGCGTGCAAGTGAGGTCATATAGTAGTTGTCTTTCTTTATATGTCTTCTTTCACTTAGCATGCCCTCCTCAAAATTCATGCGTGTTGTCACAAATGTCAGGATTTCCTCCTTTTTTAAAAAAAATTTTATATGTTTATTTATCTTGAAAGAGAGAGAGACAGAGCAAGAGCAGGGGAGGGGCAGAGACGGGGGAGACACAGAATCCAAAGCAGGTTCCGAGCTGTCAGCACAGAGCCTGATGCGGGGCTTGAGCCCATGAGCCATGAGATCGTGACCTGAGCTGAAGTTGGACGTTCATCCTACTAATGCACCCAGGCACCCCGGATTTCCTTATATTTTTTAGCTGAATAGTATTCCATTGTGTCTATATACCATACACCACTGTTTTTATCCATTCATCCACCAACCAACAGGTGGTTTCCGTGTCGTGTCGATTATGAATAACACTGCGATGAACATGAGCGTGTATGTCTGTCTTCGAGGCAGTGACTTCAGTTCCTTCAGATGGGTACCCAGTAGTGGTATCGCTGGGGCGTAGGGTAGTTCTGTTTTTAATTTTTTGAGGACCCCCCGTACTGTATCCCCAGTGGCTGCCCCGGTTTGCATTCCCACCAACAGGGCAGGAGGGTCCTTTCCCCCACACCCTCGCCAGCACCTGTCGTCTGTCGTCATGCGGATGACAGCCCTTCTGGGAGCTGGGAGGCTGTCTGGGCCACAGGCGGCCTCTGCGACGGGCAGGTTTGCTTCCAGGGTCTTGGGCGAGTGTGGCTCCTGTCCAGTCCATGGGCAAACAGGACTATGCCCGGCTCCTCTTGTTCAGTAGGGTGGCTCTGGGTCCACAGTCGGATGCTCAGGCAGTGAATAACCCATTTCTGTGATTTCTTCTTTCTTTAAATCTTCTGCCTATGATCACAGAAGAAAAAATATCCCATCAACATGCACACAGGCACGGCCTTGACCACATAGTCATTATACCATTTGAAATGGGAGAAAGGGTAGGGCGGCGTTTTGAGTGTTGTTTATGTTTTTTTTAATGTATTAGACAAGTAACCATTGATCTGTTTTCAGGTCTGGCGAGGTTTCCATCAATGTAAGAAAACCGAAAAACAGAGAGAGGATGAGATGATATTCCTGGGTATGGTAAGTTCTCTTAATGGCAGGATATGCATGTGGCTTTCTTGGAACTCGTGTCTTAGTGAGTTTTTGTGGGAAGAGAGGAAAGAAAAATAAATGACCAGTGACTTAAGAGAATGGAATCGCCAGTGCTGTATGGAAGCGTGCCCTGGGGATCTGGACAGAGCAGGCGCACTTACACATCCGTGGAGCATTCCAAATGTGGAAATGAGCTCTCAATTGCTCACAAATTGCCGTTCCTGCGTGATGTCTGCACTCCTCTGTTAGTATTTGTGACCAAGAGAATGGGTTTGCATCGAGCCAGCTGGCTTTGGTGGGGAGATCTCCGTGGCGATGACTGGGTATGTATTAGTCACCGACTGCTGCATAACAATATGACCACAGCTTAGCCACTTAAACACACACTCATCAGCTCGATTTCTGTGGGTCAGGAGTCTGGACTTCACTAAGTCTCCTGCTCAGGATCTCACAAGGCTGCAGGCTGTCATCTGAGGCCCACGTGGGTGAACTCCACTTCCAAGCTTGTGCGGTTGAGAGCAGGATTTACGCCAGGACCTTATATTTAATGCCGGGATAAAAACACTGCAACACTAACATTGATAGATACTGTGGCCAAGTCTTTGAAAATGCTAATCATGTACCAAGCTGTAGTGGGCTAGAAGAAGAAAAGAAATACAAACAACTACAGATACCAATTTGCTTTAAAAAAAAAAAAAAACAAACAAACCTATTAGATAGTGTCCTGAGTGACTAAGGTAATAAATTAGAAAATACTGAACAGAGAAGATGATCTAGGGAAATACAAAAATCGAAACAGACCAAAGATGTTAAAAAAAAAAAAAAAAACCTACATAAACTAATCACTGCAGTGAATGCTAGAAAGGTTTGCCAAGTCCCGGGGTCCATTTGGGCCTGTAGATGCAGGTGTGAGGATGGATGCAGTTGGACGTGTAGGACATTTACTGGGAGGAACGGAACGGAGGGCGGGGAGGCTGGGGTTGCTCCATGGGGAGGCAGGGGTGACCAGGTGGGGGCACGGGAGAGGGATGGAGAGGTAGAGCCAGCCTGGTGGTACACTTCCACCATTTTTAAAAATGTCTGCTAAGAAAAGAAAAAAGAGCTGGGAATGGCAATGCCAGGTCTGGGCAAGGACCCAGGGGCGGGGGTAGTGTGGGGACACCAGCCAGGGTTTACGTGTGCCCACCCTCCTGAGGGCAGTTGGTCTCATTATAAACAGTAAAGCACAGGAGCGCCTGGGTGGCTCAGTCGCTAAGCATCTGACTTCGGCTCAGGTCATGATCTCACAGTTTGTGAGTTCAAGCCCCACGTTGGGCTCTGTGCTGACAGCTCAGAGCCTAGAGCTGCTTCGGATTCTGTGTCTCCCTCTCTCTCTGACCCTCCCCAACTTGTGCTCGCTTTCTCTCTCTCTCTCTCAAAAATAAATAGACATTAAAAATTTTTTTAAACCACTTATGCCTATTTGCTTAGTAATCCCAACCCTTGCAATTTCTTTGCTTAAAAACTAAAGAAGGATGTGAGCAAAATTTACAATATATAGATATTCATGTCTGGGTACTCTCATACATGTAGACTGGTGCCCAGAAATAGTTCATACAGTTAGAACAGGCCATCGTGTGGCTTCACAGGTGATGGTTAGCATTTCTGTGTAACGTGCCAACTGTAAAATGTGAGCCCCGTGGTCCTCTTTTTAATGCTTTCTCTTATTCTTACATTTTTCTGTAGTAAATGTATATTTTATGTCTAAAAAATGTACAGATAAAATACACGTTCAATATTTTATCTGAGGAGAAGATGATAGGATTCATCGTTTAAACAATTTATAGCTTTTTTTTTTTTTTTTTTTTTTTTTTCCTGGGTTATTTTTTTGTTGTTGTTGTTGTTTTTGTGGTTTTTTTTTTTACAAATAGTTTATTGTCAAATTAGTTTCCACATAACACCCAGTGCTCATCCCCACAAGTGCCCTCCTCCATGCCCATCCCCCCTCCCCCCCACATCCATCAGTCCTCAGTTTTTGTCAGCATTCAGGAGTCTCTCATGGTTTATAGCTTTTTTTTTAACTGAAACTTTAAATAATACCAATTCACAAGGCATTCTCCCAGGTCTGCGTACTTCTTACCAAAGTATGTCTCAGTAGGAAAAAAATCAGGATTTATGATTTTTCTTTCTTTCTGTTTATAACAATTAATAAACTCAGAGGGGCACCTGAGTAGCTCAGTCAGCTAAGCTTCTGACTTCGCCTCAGGTCATGATCTCACAGTTGGTGGGTTTGAGCCCCAAATCGAGCTCTGTGCTGACAGCTCAGAGCCTGGAGCTGCTTCCGATTCTGCCTCCCTCTCCCTCTCTCTGCTCCTCCCCCCCTTGCACTCTATCTCTCTCTTTCAAAAATAAACATTAAAAAATTTTAAAATATAGATACACTCAGAGAATAATATAAGAAGTAAAAAAAAATAATAAAGGTTATATATACTTTTGTAACCAGTGTAAAGATGTGGGTTTCATTATATTAGTCTTTCCTTTTTGTGTTTAAGTTATATTCCCGAATACTGCACTCCACCTTCTCACTTTTAGAGAAAAGAAATCAAGTGGTGACCAGAGTGTGGTTGATACAAGAGCATGAAGCACATTCGCTCTCTCAGCTCTGGGATCAGCCACAGACGTGTTCGTTTCATCTGTGTTTCCATCAGGTCTTCTCATATAAAAACATTAGTTTTTTTCCGGGATTTTGGGATTTAAATAACTTAAAAGATCTTATCAGTGATATTATTAAATATAGAAAACAACGTAACTGAGTCCCACATTAGGGATATGGCTATATAATTTTCATCAATGTTGCGATGGCGCATTCTAAATAACCAGTGGCAGGGTAAATACACTTTGTGTTGGAATATCTTGTATCTCTGACCCTTCGGCCCCACATCGTGGACCAACCGCGCCAGCTGCCGCCATGGCCTCTGGGCACCACCTCCGTTATCAGCACAGAATTGAAAATATGAATTATTTTCCTTGAGGAAAGTATTGGTCTCCATCTTCCAGATACTTGGAAGGGAAAGTCTCCCGTGGAGGAGCCTGATACCCCTGCACGTGTTTATAAAGCCTAAATTGTGACGTCCAGCCTTTATTCTCTTAAAAAATATGGTCAGTCATCATACCTGAGTATGTACATATGATTTAAGAAATACCTTAATCTTCATCACCTAATTTCTTGATTTTCATTTGATATTAGAATTAAAAAAAAAATGATGTGTCACCCAGGTGGCTCAGCTGGTTGGGCGTCCAACTCTTGGTTTTGGCTCAGGTCATGATCTCGCCGTTTGTGGGTTCAAGCCCCACATCGGACTTCGTGCTGACAGTGCGGAGCCTGCTTGGGATTCTCTGTCTCTCTCTGCTCCCGCATCCCCTCAAAATGAATAAATAAACATTTGGAAAAAAAAGAATTGGTGAAATAGGCTAAGTTGTTTCTATCTTATAAGCAAAACAAAAAAAAGTTTTTTCAAGTTGTAATTATTGACAAGGGTGGAGGGAGACACCACGAGTTACATCGACTCCACCTTTCTAAAAGATGGTAAGCAAAGTACAAGATCGTTAGGATGTTTATATCCCACCCCTCCCCCCAAAGTTCTATCTCTGTCTTGAGGAAACCATCCGAAATAGAGATTTATGTGCATGGAAGTCTTCTCCACTGTTCTTTTTAATAATGACAAATTGGGGATAAAACTGATTCAGAGTAAGGACGTAGTGGACCTACATTAACACAGTAATATGTCACCCTTGAAAACTATGTTTATGATTAGTTTTTGATGACATGAAAACATTCAAAGTAAAAATTCAAGGTTTGGAATTACACATATAATATGATTTCAACTAAATACATGCACACATCTATGCACTTGAAAAAGAAAGAAAGAAAAGATACCGTGTTTAGTAGCATTCCTTTTTTTAATGTGGGACTTTGGAAGTTTTTTTTTTTTTTTTCTATCTGCAATTGTATTTTCCAACATGCTTAAACTTTGCTTCATTAACTGGAAAAAAGTACACATTTAAAATGAAAGCAAGTAGCCATAGAATCATATCAATTTTTTGTAAATCTGTTTCCCTCTCCCCTGCGAAGAGACACCCACATGTACAATATTGTGATAAAAATAATAGCTAACTCCAACTTTGTACTTTCCCAACTCAACTAGCAGTGAAAAGATTCAGTCTAAGACCATCTAAGTTTGACATGAAATTTTATGTTAGCAGTTTGGCTCAACCATTTCCCTTTAATATAATTCAGCACTCATGTACTCAACGTCATCTGCATGTAACACGCAGAAGCCCAGGAATAGCCGAGCCCTCTTTTTCATCCTAGAGTCTGAATTGCTTACACTGATTGCACACAAAGACAGAATTACGTGTTTATTACTCTCATTTTTCTGTTTTACTTTGGAGTGTATATCTGCTCAGTCAAATCAGAAGTCTGTATTAATTTTTCAGCAGTACAGGGTTTGAAGAATATAAAGAAAGCAACTTGTCTGTTTTGTGTTAAATGTGACTTTCTCTGGTTTGCCCTTTTTTTTTTTTTTACACTCCTCCTGGTAGGGTGTGTTCTACTGAAATTTCACACCATCGAGAAATATATGGATTCAATTTTTAAAAGAATGGTATCTTCTGTCCTCTGGCTGATAACCATGAAAATCCATTATCCCAAACCCAAGAAATGTTTTCAATTGAATATATTTTCCACTATATCGCTAATGAAGATATTGTCTTCAATAGTCTTCAAAAATTTCATTTTTCCGTTATTTCACTTCGTTATATCACACCAGCAAATAAACCATTGACTTATCTGATCAAAAACAGTATTTTTAGGTTTGGAGAAGCTTGGGCTATTTCCAGGTATTTAGTAACCGAAACCAGAATTAGAGCAAGAGACATCATTATGCCTTCCTTTCCTGACCAAATGTTTCCTTTACCATTGTCATATAAATTTTTTCTTGATATTGCCA